TGGGAACGGAGCCATTTTTTCCCAGGAGGATGGCTGGGAAAGAGTAGCTGGGATCCGCATTTCTTAGTGGAGCCGCTCAATCTAGCCATACTAGCTGTGCCCTTGGCTCTGGTGCCTCATCTGTAAAGCGAGGATAGGAGGTAGATGCAGGAAGACAGACATGAATGCATCCTAGGAGCTGCCCTGTGCATCAGAAAGAGACCCATAAGGAAGAGCAGCAGGACTCTGTTGCCTTGTATGGAACAGACTTCGGGACACCACCTCACTTCCCTCCCACTTCCCCATGCCCACCTGGCTGCCAGTCCCATGTTATCTCTGTGTGGTTGGCCCAGCAGGTGAGAGCACATACTACAGTGTCAATAGAACTGGGCTTAGATCCCAGCATATACATCAGCTCTCTCAGAGCCACCCCTAACTCAACTCCATGAGATCTAACGTCTCCTTCTGGCCTTCATGGGTAATGTACACATGCGGCACACACACACACACACACACACACACACACACACACACTAATAAAAATAAGTATTTATAAAGTTCACCAAATGATCCCAATGCCGATAGACCCAGCAATATCTCACATGTCACTATTGTACCTGGAAAGTACAAGCTTTCAGAGGGCCCAGAGAGACTCGAGCCATTCACTACGGGAGAGCATCCCCTCCGTGTGCTGTCTGGGACAGTGGGACTCTGGTTTCTTTCTCGGTTCTGTAAGCATGCTTCTAGTCACCCTGAGGAGGACCCACAGGGAATCTTGAGCTTCCTCAAGCCTGCCTGAGAAAAGTGGTCCTGGCAGTATGGGCACAAGGAATGGGCACTGGTGTTTCTAGTGATCGACTTCTGCTGTGACTTTTATGTGCCACTAGCCTGACTGCATGTTAGCATTTAAGAGTAATGGGAATGGGGTGGAGAGATGCTTAGTGCTCAAGAGCACTTGCTGCTCTTGTAAAGGACCTGGGTTCAGGTCTCAGCACACACATCAGATAGCTCACCATTGCCTGTAACTCCAGCCTCAAGGGATTGTTGCTTCTGGTTATCACAGGCACCTGCTCTCACATGCACAAGCCCACACATGTATATACATAATTTTAAGAATATTTTAAAAGAGTAATGGAAGCACTCTGCAAATAATTGAATTGCATACTAGAGACACAAATCAACATTCACACCTTGTAATGTTTTTGTCAGTACATCTTTGCAATGAGATGAAAGCACAATAATTAATTGCTACTTGTTCCTTGTGTATCAAGTGTTACATGCCCTAGGTAACATTTGCAGAGTGTGTATGATTTAAGTGTTGTCTTGGAGATGCTAAATACATCTGAATGATAATGTATGAATTCATCTTATGAGAAGACTAATAATAGCCTTAGTTAGAGGTTCAGTTAATTTGATCATAACATCTCCCTGTAACTACACTGTATAGACTGTGAGGGGCACTTTGATCATATCTTTTTCTCAGCCTTAATAAAAGTTTAAAAGAAACAAACCATTAAAAAAATGTATCTGGGGTTGGCGAGATGGATCAGTGACTAAGAGCACTGGATCCTCTTCCAGCAGACCTGAGTTCAATTCCCAGTACCCTCATGGTGACTTACAACCATCTGTAACTCCAGCTCCATGAGATTTGGCCCCCTCTTCTGGCTTACTAAGGCATGGCATGCACATAGTAGACAAACATACAAATAAAATAAAATTTTTAAAAAGGTAAAAAAAAAATCATTGTTATTTATTATTTTTAAATTAGGTGTGCCTATGTATCTGTTTGCACATATATGCATTCATACAGGTGCCTGCTCACGCTGGAGGGATCAGATCCCCTAGATATGGAGTTACATGTGTTTGTGAGTCATGTGATGGGGGTTTGGGGAGTAGAATTCAGGTCCTCTGCAAATGCAGTATGTGCTCTTAACCACTGGGCCATCTTTCCAGCCTCAAACCTTTAAGAAAAAACAATGAGATAAATATTGAAATTTGGGACTGGATCCTACCAGGAATTTCAGATGGAAAGACATGGTCCAGTTTGCACTGGACTCCAACAAGCTGTGTCCATTCCTTTACTTGTGGGCACTCAACAAACATATCCCCCACTATAACAATGAAAACCAATAGTGCCCAGTGATCCCCCTAGTTCCATGTGATCTTGGAGACAGGGAAAATGAGGAAGTAAGCAAGTCTGTATTTTAAACTATCTATGGGTCTAGTATGTCAAGTAAGAATACACAGGAGAAAGGAAAAATCTAAGGAAATCACAATTAAGTTCTTCATTCATGCACACACAGGAGTCTGCATTCAACCTGTCTACAGTCACATTGCGGGCTGTCTAACATCCTATATCTGTTCACACTCCCACATAAAGGTTGTCTTTGCAGGAAATTAAAGATAATTTCATGTCAAAGTCATCACAAATTTTCTACTTTGGGATGAGTATAGTTTATTATATACAGTATAATAGACCTGTACGTTCATGTTACAATACAGTTTTAATTTGTGCATTTGAGGAGTCAGAGACATGGAATATAATGGAGTTTTATTGCCCAAGAGTTGTAGACATTTTGAATGATGAGTAAGGGGTTTGTCTTAAATTGAGGTGACATGGGCAAAGCTGCTCTGTGTGATGATAAAAGTGGCAGTCAGAACCCTTCTTAGGTGTGAGGGTGGGATAAAGTAACTGTAGAGAGTGCTTAGTATGCTTGTGACTAGATCTCTTTACACATGCAGCTACAGAGAATAGAGAGGGAATAACACACTCCTAATTTCCTCAGATCTAAAGGCTGAGGGGGGGGAATAGTGAAGGACACAGTGCAGACTTTGCACAGTTTAGAACATTCTATGTGCATAATTTTCATAAAACTCAGACAAACAAACAACAGCAACAACAAAAAACTCCTTATATCCTGTCAATTGTGACCAATTGTTTTCTGTGGCCAGAAAACAAAAACTAAAACCAAAGCTCTTGATCAGACAGTTAGCTAACCCTGGTTATGAGAACAGTGTAAGCCATTCTGTTCCATTTCCAGCTGGCTTAGACCCAGTCCCTTAGTATATGATGCATGACTGGTCTAGGCCACTGCTTCCAGAAAAGGGGCCCCAGAATATTAGAAATTTTTTTACTTAAAAAACTTTTGGTCCAGGTATATGATAGTACACACCCTTATCCCAGCAGAAGCAACGGCAGAGACAGGCAGATCTCTGTGAGTTTAAGATCAGTCTGGTCTACAGTATGTTCCAGGACAACCAAGGCTACTAGGTGACACCCTCTCTTAAACAAAAATACTTAGGAACTCCTAGCCAGGTGGTGGTGGCCACTCCTTTAATCCCAGTATGCAGGAGGCAGAGGCAAGTGAATTTCTCCCAGTTTGAACCTAGCCAGATTCACAAAGTGAGTCCCTGGACAGCCAGAGCTGTTACACAGAGAAACCCTGTCTTGAAAAATCAAAACCAAACAAACAAAAAAACCTGCAAACCCTTGTGGATGAAGTTGTTGCACTTCCAGTGAACTGAAGAAACACCAACCTTCTGCAAAGGCATCACCATCCATCAGGCTCTGAGGGTGCACTCCCAGGATGATAATTCTTCAGCAAACAGCAGCTCCTTGGCTGCCAAAGGCAGCACAATGTTTCTCACTGCTGGGGTCTGAAGCATGGCTGTTTTTTGCTCACTCACGATTTTCTGAGAACCAAGTGCTGAGAGGGGTCCACAGCTCCGTGAGTTCTGATGGCTCCATCCTCAGTTTGTGGGAGAAGTCAGCACTCAAGGGTTCTGGAAAGGCGGCAATCTCTTCTTTATCACTTTAACTTTTTTGATGATGCTCTCAAAGTTCCCTCGACCTACCTATGGAGGTATGGGTGCACCCAAGGTTTTCTGTGACCGTGTAAACACTATGTCTTTACCAGACTGTCTAGACTCACCAATTACACTGCCAATTTGACAAAGGCCATATTTGACCATTGTCTGCCAATCTTATAGGCTACTGGTCAAGTTCATAAAGCCAAATCCACAACTGCAAAGTGGTCAGCACCCTATTACTACCTGGGTCTGACAGATAGATCCTTGTGGTCACCAACTGTGAAACTCTGTTGAGAAGTCAACCGTTCATAACCATCATTAACCTGGAAATCTTATTATCTAGGGATGAAACACTAAGGCCAAAAACAGAAGGAATTACACAAATAAAAACCCATAACAAATAATTTTGACAAATCCTGTGAAATTAGTAGATTTTTCTATTTTTTGTGAACAGTCGTTTCAATGTTTCATTTTCCCAGTTCCAAGCTGATAGGCTGAGATGACTTTAACTGGGAAACTGTCCTTTTCTGCAGTGTGTGTGTGTGTGTGTGTGTGTGGTTAGCCTGAACAAAACAGTGAAGACATCAACTGCTGTCCTCACAAGTGGGACTGTGCTTTGATATGTTTGGGGACAGAATTTGGTGGCCAGATATTAGAAAGGATTCAGTAAGTTCTAGGACATACAGCCTAGGACCACAGAACAGAGCTCTGAAATACGGACTAGCTATCCTGGGAAGTTTGGCCTGATGGCCTGCTGCTGTGCAAACAGCCTCACCAGGACATTTTGTTGTTGTCACTAGATAGCCCAAGCAAGTTTTGAACCTACTGTGTAGCCCCAGGTGGCTTTAAATTTGAGGTGCTCCGCCTTAGCCTCCTAAGTGCTGAATCACAGGTGTATGTGATGGCGGACAGCTTTGTCATCCTTTCCTCCTCTCTCCCCTGCCCGAGCTGTTTCACTCCCTCTCTTGTCCCTCCTGTCTGCTTTGGTCAACTTTTCTCATGACCTTGATGGAGTGGACTTAGAGAATGAATGGGCACTTTGTGGGCCTAGTCCGTGGCTGCTGGTACAGAGTAAGGGAGAGTTCCCAGATTGGGGACATAAGCCACCAGAACCTTCAGGGGAAGACGACTCCCAACACACTAGCACAGGCGTGAAGTGAGCTGAGCTCTGATGTGACCCTGGTGCCCTTGGCAGATGGACCTTGCAGAACTGCTGGGCTGGCTGCAGAGGTTCATGGGACAGGACAGTCCACTGAGCTATGGGGAGAAGGCATTCCCATACGGCCCCTCACTGTTGCTTAGAGAAGAAGACCTTGAAAGCACTGCTGTAGCTCCTGTTGAAGGCTGTGTAGATGAGTGGGTTGAAGAAGGAGTTGGAATATCCCAACCACAGGAAGATGCTCTTCCAGATGGCAGGGATGTCCCAGGAGCACAGGGGACTGATGAGCTCGGTGACAAAGAATGGAAACCAGCAGAGCACAAACACCCCGATTAGGATGCCCACCATGAGGGCTGCCCTCTGCTCCTTCTGCTCCCGCCATGTATCCCCTACTGTCTGGAAGGTAACGGTGGCATGGCGGACAGTGAACACCATCTGGGGTTGTTGTGTAGCATCCTTCACCTGAAAGGCACAAACAGACACTTTGTAAGGAACAACCTCTTCGTACCTGCCAGGTAGTGGCAAAGCTGGAACCCAGGTACAGATGGGCCTGAACCCCACAAGCTACTCCAAAGGACATGTTGGAATTTAGATGGGGAATCCCATAAACTAGAGGGTATAGCAGTGCGATGGCAGGTCTAAGGAGTGTGTGTGCACGCACATGTGTGTGTTTTCCCAGTCCACTACGGGCAGTATCATCCCTAGGCAAGTCGTCCTGAATTGTATGAGCAAACTAGCTGAGTTTAAGTCAGCAGTTCTCAACTTATTTCCAAAAATATTTACACTATGATTCATAACAGTAATAAAGTCATAGTTATGAAGTAGCAATGAAAATAATTTTATGGGAGTCACTACAACATGAGAAGCTGTATTAAAGGGTCACAGCATTAGGAAGGTTGAGAACCACTGGTCTAAGCCATAAAAGCCAGCAAGCAAGAAGCATCCACCATGTTTCCTACCATCCTTCTTTGGCTATGAAGTGAGGTAGATGTAATGCTGTGTGGGATAGGAAGCAGACCTGCCTTCAAGTTCCTGCCTTGGCTTCCCTGAATGATGGGTGGTGGCATTTTAGGCCAAAATAAGCACTCCCCCTCCCAAGGTGCTTTTGGTCGGAGTGTTTTATCATAGCAACATAACTGAAACTAGAACATGAGGTGTGTGGATTTGGTGGCAAAGGTGATGGTAAATTACTGATTGCAAACTGGGTGGAATAGGAATCACCTGGGAGGCTAACGTCTAGGCTTGTCTGTGAGGGAAAGGCACACCCTAAATATGGGTGGCACCATCCTATAGGCTTGGGTCCCAGACTGAATGAAAGGAGAGAGTAGAGTATGGCATCGGCCTAGCTCTGCTTCCCAGCGGCACAGGCGGCAGCATGAACTTCCACCATGCCCTCCCTGTTGTGACAGATTGCACCCCTAAACTATGAGCCAATGCAAAGCCTTTCTCCCTGGAGTTCCTTCTGTCTGGTATTTTATCCCAGCAAAAAGAAAAGGTATTAGTATATGTCACAATGAGCTCATTATAAACAAAATGTGGAGACTGAAAATTCATTTACTATACCTCTCATACCAGATAGCCTAACCCAGCCAGCTACATAGCACCCTGTGGAGGTCAGTGATTTTCCTTTGTCATCTGGGGGCTGGCTGAGTGGCTGTGGTTTACTGTTACTGCTCACCATCAGGGAGGACCCTCTGTGGGGTGGCCTTTGAAGTCTCCTTTGCTCAAGCTTCACTCAGTGCGACACTCAGATGATTTCCTGTTGCTGGTGAGATCAAGATATAGCTCCTTCTCGACTCTTGGCTCCTTCTCCAGCACCATGCCTGCCTGCATACTGCCATATCTCACCATGATGATAATGGACTAAACCTCTGAAACCATAAGCCATCCAATTCAACAGTTTCCTTTATGAACGTTGCTGTGGTCATGGTGCCTCTCCACAGCAATAGAGACCCCAACGAAGACAGCAGGTGAGGTGGCTCAGTGGGTAAAGGTGCTTTCCAACAAGCCTGACCACCTAAGTTCTGTCGCTGGAGACTACACAATAGAAGGAGAGAACAAACTCCCCCAAGACTCCCAGGAGGTCCTCCCGTCTGTCTCTCCCTCTGGAAGTCTTCATCACTCCCGGCATTTTCTCATGGGCCAAACTGGGCATTGCTGGTAGCAACAGAAATGCTAGTAACATGAGGGTAATAGCAACAGTGTGAACACTGAAGACATGGATGCTGTAACACTAGGGGTGCTGGAAACATGGGACACTGGGGTGCGTTTTTGGATCAGGAATTCTTCAGAGTTTAGTAATAGAGCTCCACATTTCTCAGAAAAGCACCCCCCCCCATCTTGGTATCCTTCATTGCTGTGATAAATACCATGACTAAAAGCAACTTGGGGAAGAAAGGGTTTATTTCACTTCTGGGTCACTTACTCTTCATCAGTGAGGAAATCAAGGCAGGAACCTAAGCAGGTGCCTCACAGACAGGCTCATGGTCCATGAGCCTCTCACACAGCCCATGCTCAGCTGCCTAGGCAGGATACTACCCACAGTGAGCTGAAGTCTCCCATGTCATTCATCAGTCAAAACAGTCCCTCACAGACACAGCCACAGAGCAGTCTGAATTGGGCAGCTTCTTAGGTCACTCCAGGTTATGTCAACTAACCAGGACACAAGTCCATGTGAAACACTGATCCTTCTTCAAGACCGTGTTCTGGTGCTGTGTTCAACACTAGCCTGCCCCCACCCCCATCCATCTACCCCCACCAAGAACTCAGTGATTGAAATCACTGTCTATGGAGCTGCTGGGTCCATTGGTAGGAGATCCTGGCTATTTGAAAAGTTTCCACATTCCCTTGCTTTCAGGTTTATGTGCTCACCCTGCCTTCCAGACCTCTTCTTTCTGCTCTTGGCTAATCAATGGCTATGATGAAGTACTTAACTGAATCTGTAGATAACCTGAATAGATTATCATGAGAGTTTAACCCACTCATTAGCAGATCTCAGGAAAAGAGGATAAGGCTACCATTGAGCGAGCAGTCAGACTAAGCTAGATCTTCCATCATCTCTGACACACACTTAGAAGAGATGTTTCACAATTTCATACTCACAGAAAGTTACCAGCTTTATTAGCCTTTTGTCTTTCAGCAACTGAGTTATTTGGGAATAGGTACCACTTAATAAAGCTCTTTGGTTTTGTTTTTCTTTTTCCAAAATATTGCTATGCTAAATAATTGTTTATGGTTTTACTACAAATCTTGTGTACTCTTTCCACAGCTTTCTGTTGCTGAAGTTGGGGGACAGAGACTCTCAGCTCTGGTGTGGATTCAGTCGATTTGTAAGACTGGTCACCTGGACCTGCCAGAACACTCAAGAAACAGATTTACAGATTAGAAGAAGGCTCTGCATGGTGGTGACTCAGGGACAGATTGCTTGCTCTGTAGCTATGGTAACAAGGAGTCCTGCTGGTTGTCTAAACCTCTTCCTCTGATCAAGGACAATGAGCACATACTTGTAAACAAGCCAGTCATCGCCAGCCCTCCCAATCGTCAGAGTCACCCTAGAAAGCTGACTCTGAGAACCAATCACCATGAGCACCCACACTCTACAGATAATGCTGCCCACTGACCCACACAATGACCCCACCCCAACCTGGTCACTCTGACGTCACAGAGATAATCGTGATTTCTTTTGTCCTAGGAACAGTTTGGGATGACAGAATTTCTCTTACTGCCAAGGCCATAGATTCACCAGTTCTTTTATTCTCAGCCTCTGGGTCACAGCTGTGCCACCCATGGCCAGTCTGAAAGGTAACACTGAGACCATGCCTGGGACCCCCCATGACATCTCCCCACCAAAAGCTCTTCATTGGACCCCAGCTCCAGCTACCTGCTGGTTTTTGTTCAGGCACTCCTGGTTACTTGGGTTCTGGCTGGCCCCTTGGCCCCTACTGCTAATGATATTTTGCTGTTCCGGAATTTGCAAACAAAGGCTGTCTTTATGCCAGATTATCATATTGAGGTGTTTGCTTCATGGAAGCAGAGCCTCTGCTAGAAGTCTGCTGTTGGGTCTTGGGTTAGACTTTGGATAAGGTGTGGTCATGTGTCAAGAGCTCAGCACTGTCCAACACCACCATGCTGTGAAATGAACTGCAGCATCTACAGCTGTTTGGTTTTTGATTTAAAAATTTGGTGTGTGTGTGTGTGTGTGTGTGTGTGTGTGTGTGTGTGTGTAAGTGGTAAGTGTGTATAAGTGCATGCATGTGCTCACAGAGTCTAAAAGAGGGTATTTAGTCACCTGGAGCTGGAGTTATGAGCTGCTAGACATGAGTGCTGGGATTGAACCACTGTCCTCTTCAAGAGCAGCAAGCATTCTTACCCATCTCTGTCTAGTCTCAGTCAGCTTGTTTAACTGATATCCAGAAGCCTTACAACATTGCCCCCTTGGGGTCTCTCTGGGAGCTGTATCAGTTTTCCTAAATGAACTGCCCTTTCTTCAAGATGGTTTGTTGTTGTTCAGGAAAAATTGAAGCATTCTGTAACTCACTAGATATAAAGTCAGATCTATAAACTGTAAATTCAGAGCCTATACCAGAGCCAGGGGCATAAGGGGAATTTTTCCTAAACTTTGAAGAAAAGGGCAGAAATGTGTTATGGGATTTAGAATTTCATTAGAATATCAAACAAATCATATTACTAGGACCTGTCACAGCCGGAATTGAAATCTCTTCAGATTTGGAAACATTTAAAAGCAGGAGAGAGAGGAAAAGAGTTACCTAATCCAATTGTGGGAATTTAAACATAAAGATAGATTATGGTTTACATAAGGCAACTTTAGAAGCTTCCCTTACATGCGGTGACTGGAGCAAGGTACAAAGCAAACAAAGACAGAAAATAGATTTGGCATCCATGCAGCATTTATGTGGGACAGAAGCCTGAAGCTGATGGAATGAGGTCTCAGTTGAAGCGAGGTCTTCTTTTCTTTCTTTCTTTTTTTGTTTGTTTTATTTTTTGATTTTGTTTTTATTTTTTGTGTTTTGAAGCAGGGTTCTCTGTGTAGACTCACAAAGATCTTCCTGCCTCTGCCTCTGGAATGCTGGAATTAAAGGCATGTGCCACCATACCTGGCTCAGTCCTTTTTTTTTTTTTTTTTTTTTTTTTCTTTCAATAAAGGAGCTCATGAGGGCTAGAGAAATAAATGGCTCAGAGGTTAAGAGTACTGGCTGCTCTTCCAGAGGTCCTGAGTTCAATTCCCAGCAACCACATGGTGGCCCACAGGGTCTGGTGCCCTCTTCTGGCATGCAGGTGTATATGCAGACAGAACATTATATGTAATAAAAATAAACAAATTAACTTTTAAAAAAGGAACTCAAAAATAAGAAGTAAATGGAACTATGAACCTAAAATTTAAAAAATTCCCAATATGAGGCTAGACATTTCCAAATAACCTTAAAAAGTAAAGGCTGGAGATC